TTAGGTTCGGGACGAGGCAGCGGGAAGCTAGTCTCTATTTCCATTTTTCTTTTATTTTTTTTCTTTTTCGTTTCTTTTTTTTTTCTTTTTCTTCTTTTTTTCTTTTTCTTTTCTTTTTTCTTTTTCAGTTTTCTTTCGATATATCCATTGTTTATCAGATTGATTACTTGACATGTTGATAATGATATCCACGACGTTACGACACGATATAAGATGCAATATGATTGATTGATTGATTATTGATTATTGATTGATTGATTGCTTCTACAAAAGTTCGATCTAGATGAAAGATATGATGATGTGAACCCCTGTATTTTTATTTTTTTTTTCTTCGTGGGATAAGCGGGTGAAAAGAAAAAAGAAAATACTGGAAAATTTTGTGCGAGTCTCTCAAGGGTTGGTTTCCCGAGAGAGAAAGAAGTATCTCTTCGTCGATAACACAGCCAACACCGGGTACAGTACAGACAGGGTAGATGTGAGTGAGCGTTGGGTGATCCAACAACATATGGATGCATCATGATCCTTCTCTTTTGGCCTCTGCAGCGAGGATCTTCCGGAATACACACACAACAGATAGGTAGGTAGTAGGTTGACACCTACAGCTACAGCTTCTCAAACGTTGGAGTCCGTTTCTGCAGCCCGGATAATATCGCCGCCGTGACATCTTTCGTCTGCAGGGCGGCGCTGTTCCAGACGCTGGTGTAGCGGAGGCCTAGACATGTATATAATCAGCTGGGTGTATAATATAGATATATGGATAGCTGGATGGATGATGGAGCTGCTTACCATCCTGCACAGAATGATCGCGCGACCAATTCAACAACTCCTTCGTCCCCTGCACCGCAACAGGGCTCTTACTCGCGATCACCCCCGCCAGGTCGATCGCCGCCTGCACCGTCTTGTCCTTGTCGTCGTAGACGGCGTTGACGAACCCCACGCGCAGCGCCTCGTCTGCCCCAAACACCCGCGCCGTCAGCGACACCTCCTTCACCCACCCGTAGTGCCCGACCACCTTGGGCAGCCGGCTCAGCGTGCCAATGTCCGCCGCCAGCCCGATGTCCACCTCCTTGACGGCGAACTTGGCGTCGCGCGCGCACAGCCGCACGTCCGCCGCCGTCGACAGGTCGATGCCCAGCCCTAGCGCGTACCCGTGCATGGCCGCGATGACGGGCTTCTCGCACCGCTCCACGGCCGTCACGCAGTCCTGGAAGTCGGCAATGTGCCGTCGCAGCCGCGCCGCGATGCGTCCCGGGTCGAGGTTCTGGCCCTGCTGCGGGCTCTTGGTCGCAGCTAGCAGCCCGCTGCCCTCCTGCGATGCGGCCTGCACATCCAACCCAGCGGTGAAAGCGCGCTCCCCGGCGCCGCTGAGCACGATGGCCCGCACGGACGAGTCGTGCGAGAGCTGGTCAAAGACGCGCCGGAGTTCGAGCCACATGCTAGAAAACAGATCAGCGGGACTGAATATTTAATCAATCAGGATTGTAAGGGTGTGGTTGATACGCACGCCTCCATAAACGCATTCATCTTCTCCGCGCGGTTGATCTCCACGTGCGCGACATATTCCCGGGGAAAGGTCACGTTGAAGTATTTGAAGGTGTAGGTTTTGTCTGTCATGGTGATATATGATATGTCTGATGGGTAGGTATCTATCCTCCTTGGATAGATGATGAGAGATAATCCAGAGGGTTCAGTGGTAGGATGTTCGACATGCAATCAACTCAAGTATGTGAGCAGGAGCTATGAAGCCGGCTATGATGGTAGAAGGATGAGACGTCAATCGATGGATGAATAATCAATCAATCAGTCAAGTCATCGCATTCCAGGAATTAGGAGTAGTGAACAGAGCTGAGCTGAGCTGAAATGAGTTGGATTGAATCCACAGATCAACCACATGAACCTGGTCAATAAATCAATCAGTCGACTATTCGACCAGTTGGAAAAGGAGAAAGAAGAAGATTGATCAGCTATGTGCTGCACCTTGCAATTGCTAACATGTATGTAGTTCGTCTGTTCTAGTACGTACGTAAGATGGTCTATTAGGCCAGACATCTCCGCTTGCCGAGGTTTCTCGGATCTGATTGATAAGGCTGTCTGTCGAGTATCGACACGTGACTTTGTCTCGACACAGCATGCATTGAGGTGGGATTTTGAACAAACGGTAACTTTTTAAATTGATGATTTTTTTTAATAATGATAATGATTTGTTTAGAGTAGATGAATTTTAATTTGGCAGATTGTGTATGTATGTATGTATGTACTGTGTGTACTCCGTACTTTAAATGTGCTTGCAGTAGCTGAATTGTGCTGAGGATATAAATAATCTTTTGCAGCTAAGGATATGTATCTACAGTATGCTAATAACTAAGCTTACGAATAAAAAAAAGGGCATGAGATGATGTCTTATATCTATATCAACGAATCCGCTCGAAAATAAACTCCATTTCTGCGTGTAATCAGAATATCGTATAGCGAGAAACGAGCTTTATGTGTAGTTTTGCCATGGTCCAGCCTAGCTGCTAATTAGATTTCCTTATAAATACATGTATAGTCTTAGCTTCAGTAGTTTATCAGGATCTTATCCAATGCCCTCTGCACTGTAGCACACTGGGTCTCAATGTTATGTGAGCTGCTATTGGCTTCCAGCGAGATATATTCTGACTGACCGAGCATGCGCTGCAGGAGCTGGTCCGCCCGCTCCTCAACGCCTGCTTCAAGGAGCTAAATATGATGAAGAAGCAGGATTGATGATGGAACAACCTCTGGGCTGGATTTATGATTGTCCGACGTTGAAGGGATGAGAAGCTGTACCGAGCGTTGACGCGGTCGACGCTGTACTGCAGAGCAACGCGAAGCGGGGCGGCTGAGGCCTCAACACCGTATCTGAGCTAGATTTGGTGCTTTGTTGAGAGACATGCTACCAAATGTAAGGAGCTAAATATGAAGTTGAAGCAAGGAGGAACGACGTCAGTATGATTCTTGGATTTGCTATGTTGTAGAAACTAGGAAGTAAGCGGCTGTCGACAGACTGTCCTTCTTCGTCACCGCCGTTCGGCCCGCCGGCCTGATGCAGTCGACCTTGACTCAAGTCGAGATCGGAGAATGCCTCCGGACCCATATCAATGATCGGCCTGAATATCTACTTGGCCTGGTTATATTCGACGAAGCGATCGAATGTGTTGGAGCCTACTAGGATCCAAATGCGCTGGGCGAGTTATCGTTCCACTGGTAGAACCTGAATAGAAGTGATGACCAAGGACCAGCGGCGGGACGGCTGTCCATCAAAGATCGAGTGCGTGCGGTCCAGTGTGCGAATGGTGTCTTTACCGATCTACCAATGGCAATGGCCCTGTAGACTTGTCTGTTTGCTGAGCTTGTTTCCCACCGTGGATACCCCTCAGGTATTCCGAGGCAAGTTGCGGCCCCTTCTCTATATCCACTCATGGTTTGTTTGGTTTCGTTCACTGAGTTGACGAGACAAAGGAGATCAGGGTACCAAGTTCAACAGAGTTCAGGTTGTGATTGATTGAGAGGTGGCAAAAGAAAGGGGAAAAAAAGGTCTGGCACTGTGTAACTCGGCAGGCTGCGTTAGATACTGACTCGTGAGGTGCAAGTGAGTATGGGAGAGAGAAGGCCCTTGCATTGCACCAGAAAGAAGTGCATGTGGCCGTGGCCTGCGGCGTGGTGGTATACATTCAGGTCCGCAGATCTTGTATCCCGCGCGAAGATGCCGATGTTAGGTCTCTGGCCCAGCCTACTGCGTCCCTCGTCATGGTGTAGTATGGAACAGGATGAGTTTCATACGGGGTATTGGAGATACTGTCAACCATTGGCGCATGTTGTGGCCGTGGGATCCGCAGAGAACGTAGGTCTGGGGTGCTGTTGAACTTTTGGCTGCACTGCAGCCACCACTTGCCTGAGTTCTCCCAGAGAAATTCAAAAAAGATCGGAAGACATTCGCTCGGGCCTTACACTCCCTGTCGACTGTCGCCCAAATGCTTTTCCCATCCATCGTAAGGCGGAATTTATCAGCCTCAGACAATCTTCGGGTGAGATTCGGTCGCAGCGCTAAGAAAGGTGAGTTCGTCGTGGCTGCGTCGGACTATAAGTAGGCTCAGCATTAAAGCTGACCCAATTGTATTGCCTTGCCCCTTCAAGCACTGAAGGAGCTCCATGTCCTTCAGTTGGAGTGTGACCCGACAGGCATGGTTAGGAGATTCGCACCTACAACCGAGACAGGCACAGGTAATTGTCCGTAAAACTCTCATCTTTAGGCTGTTCATCACGTTCACTTCCTGCAAATTCTCTGAGCCAGAGCCCTTGAATGCATTCGCCTCGCTCAGAGGACGATAGACTGCGAATGTTAGAGACAGACATCCTGCGAAGAGGAAAGGTAACAACTCACTTTCGCCTCCATTCTGATGATCTGTCCTACCATTATTTTTTTTATTCTGGTTGTGCTCCACGAATCGGTCACCGTATATATATGTGTGGGTTCCAGTTGTTGCATCATATACAGTTTGTTGACGTTGGATTTGAACACATCCTGCGCTTCTGGATGGTGTCCTGTGCCATTGCAGAAGATCATGGTACTCCATCCCGGAGGAAATGGATCTGATCTTCAAACCCTTGCCAGTCCGAGATACAGGTTGCGGAATCCGTCATAATGTCGACAAGCCGCCATGAGGCAATTCTTGTAGACAGAGAGGGCGATGAATGCCCAGTCGATGATACAGTTTGTCACAAGTGAATTTCCTGACGAAACTAAAACTTTTCCGAGGTTGACAGGCATTGATGACATAGATGTCGCGAGAGCGTGGTTGGGTGCTCGCGGCTAAGGTTCTCCTGCTGTTCCTCGGCTGTACATATAGAATTGATTAGCAAAATGAACAGAAGAAAAGACGGACATCGGCATTGAGATGGCCTAATGTAGCCTTTGTTGCGTCTTGCCACCACGCAGGTTCAAAAGAGGGGTACTTACACTCATTGCTGAGTCCGAGGTATCGTCTGACAATAAGATTTGCTCGGCGAAGCATATTCGATGAAGATGTTTTGTTAGTGATGTGGTTGATATAAAAATACTGGCGAGCGGTTAGCTGAGTAAGACCATGAACCAAACAGAGGGGGCCAGCGCAGGAAAGCAAAAGGGACGACATTACCAGATGTATAGCCACAGCAGCAAAGGGGAACCGGGAAGAATTGATTGCTGAGCGATAACGTATATCAAGTTCGCTGGATATTCCGGGGAAGTAATAATAGCATATTCCCGGAGAATTCCCACATGATGCTGCTGTCCGTGGCTCTTTATCTCTGCACGGAAAACGTTGGCGTCAAGATGGGCGACCAACGATGTCAGTAACCATGCAGTTGTAGCCACACAGCGGCGTCAAGAAGAGTTATATAAAAATAAAGAACAAAGGATATATAAAAAAATATAAGACGAGAGGCGTGTGTATATATGGCACACGAGGTGCGATGGAAAGAAAGAGATCAAGAAAAGAGGGGGTTGACTGCCTTTAAATAACCTGGAAATCTGACTCAGGCCTGCATAACTATATCCATTCACTTATTTTCGGGAAGATTCAATTCACAGCAGGGAGTGACTGTCAAACTGCAAAATTAGTGACACAGATTCTGCAGTGTCTAGGACTTCGGGCATCGCCGGTGAAGCAGGCGTTTACCCGAGACAGCAAACGGATGGCTTGGGATCTGGGTTTGCAGTCACCCATTTTCGCATTATTCCAAATCATCGTCCTTTAGTCTTGTCAACTAAGAGCTCTAGTTGCGAATAAAAATAGAAAATCTTCACTGTTGAAGTATGTTGAAGAATTGCTTGTGTTACCTAAAACATAGGCAGCCATCTTTCAAGCTATTCGCTGGAAAATCGACAGCCTCAGTTAGGCATCTTCATTTTGAAAATATTTCCTGATATCCTGGAAAGTAATTAAACGCTTTGTCGGTGATGTAGCCTGATTGGGTTCTCGCAATTGGGCTGCCATTTCTAAAATGATCCTGTTGGAAATGCGTCGAGTTATGATAATCCCAGAACTCGTTAAGACAATCTCACGATATGATTGGCTAGAGAAGATGCAAGTATGTTCCTTTAACAACCAATCACATTTGCGGAATGGTGGTAGTTTTGTCCAATGGGATCTTGTGGATCAGAGGCTCCATCCCGATCTGGTAAGGTCGCCTGCAGCAACCGACGGACGATTAAGGAGCGATAACGGGGATTCTGTCATCATGCCTGCATACTCTCTGCCAGCTCGTAGACCGGGCTTTTTTTTTTAATCACTTGCAGTCTTATCAGATGCCAACCAAATAGCCGCCGATAATGAATCATGAACCGATGGCAGCTGACAAAACGGAAAAATGGGGAGATCGGGAAGCAATTCTTCCTTGGACAACTCAATACTCTGGAAATTAATCGTCCGTTTACTTGGGGATAACTGGCTTAACTGCTGGCTTCGGATGGTGGATTCATCTCCTGGAGATTCTCTTTCATTGAGTTGAAATAGATTCTCCATCTTCAGTCTTTCCATTGGACTTGTCGATTTCCTTATCGAGAATGTTTCCGTCAGAACGGACGCCCTTGGTAGGCGACAGTACCGTTGACAACTCCCCAGCAGACGAGATTTTTGACCCGATGAAGAGGACACATTGCCAACAGCTATCACGCCTATTCGTGGCCTGGTCGTTGCTCTCATGTCGGGGGTGCTCATGCTCATCCAGTGTAGATACGCTTTTTCTTACCTGAGTACTCAAATAAGTTGCTGATTCCGGACTTCTTTCCATCCAGCAATGAATATCTCCATGACTACGACGACCCAATCAGCCATTGCTGCGGACTTGGATGCCTTTGCGGGGACGACCTGGTTTGCGGCAACATATTTGGTGCGTTAGTGACATCTATCCGGCAGTGGACTTTTATCTACAGAGACGGACTACGGCAGTTGTCGATATGGTCTATCTGTTCAATAACCATTCTGATTGAGCTATTTATGATCTGTACACTTAGATCCCCATGTCCAGTCTCACCCCTCTCGGTGGCCGACTCATGCCAGATTTTTTTCCCCGCAAACTTTCCTCCTAGGGACAATTATCTTGATTCTGGCGCTATCAAGCAAGAAGCGACGAGGGCTTTTCTTAGGACTGAACGCCGCCGGCTACACGACAGGACTGGCTACGAGAGGTTGCCATCGAGGCGTACGAGCATGCGACCAAGACATTATTCCTCGCGGCGTTTGTGTTGTCTATCGTCACAGCAGTTGTCCAGGCGGGATCGGGGTGGACGGCGCCAGCATCGAGAAAGAATGGCCGCGATGAAGACACTGTAGGAGAAAATAATATGGAGTGGCAGGCAGGTGACCGATAGATAGATAATTCCCTACAAGTTATAGCTTTGATAGATTAGACTGGATTATATATAGTCACCTCTACTGATTTTCTACAAATCTACGAAGATAGTCATGAAAGATGAAAATGTTTAAATGAATAATCTGTCATTATTCATTTTAAGTCGTTATTGTACAGTACATAAATATAAAGTACAGTCATTCATCCATCAAATCATGCCACATGCAAAGGAATGTACAGTACAAAACAACTGAATCGTGAACAGGAACAACAGCGTATGCTCATGAAAGGAGGAATGTCGGAAGGAAAGAAAAATATGAAGAGGGGGGGGATAATTGGTCATCATCGTGGCGGTAGTGCAAGAGATTCAATCAATCAGTGAATCGTCAAGGCGATCGAGTTATGTTGGAAAGCAGTGTCGAAATGAGTCAAAGGTGATAGATTTAAGCGACATTCTCGATCGCGATCTTCCGGCCGGTTGGCGGCGCCGCCTTGGGCACGGCCACCGACAGGATACCGTTTCTCAGGCTCGCCTTGACATTGTCCTGGTCGACGCGGGCGGGGAAGTTGAAGGAGCGGTGGAATTCGCCGACGGAGCGCTCCTGGATCCAGAATCGGTGGCCGTCCTTATCAGTCAGGCCACCCTTTTGGACTTGATTGGTCGTCGGCTCGCCTCCTTCGGGCGACGTGTATTCGCGCTGGATGCGGCCCTTGATCACCAGCGTCTGCGGGTCGGAGAACTCGATGTCGATGTCCTTCTGGTTCACGCCGGGCAGCTCGCCGTCCAGCAGGTAGGCGTCCTTGGCCTCGCGTACGTCGAAGCGCGGCGCCCAGTTCTGGATCGACGTGTTGCCGCGCGTCGACCGGTGCATGTCATAGTCGTCGAGGAGGCGGAAGAGAGGAGCGAAGTCACCAGCGCGTGGGAAGAGCGACATTGTGGTAGTGTCGATCGTGGATGTGATGAGGACGACTTTCGAGTTTCAGAGCGCTGAATGTGAAGAGACTCGCGTTGTGTTGTGTTGCGTTGTGTCTCGATATATCTTCTGAACTTTGATTCTGATTTTTGATCTGATCTGCTCATCCAAGGCCAGGCTGGTAGGGGTTAATATACCCCTTGGTCCGGGTTCGAGAAGTTGCCATGGTTCGGATGGAAGCTCCGTTCGATGATGTGCATCGAAGTGTCTGGGGGATGCGCGAGGCTTCAGGAGTGATCTGCCAGCGTCGAGAGGGATCCAGCAGCATCGCGAGCTGCTGCTGATGCTGATATCACGATTCCCGGCGATGACGCATCCGGGTGGAGCCTTCGTGGCGCTTCGAGAACCCCGTCACGTGCCACGGAGCTTTCCCCCACGCGGGCAGCTTTTCCCAGACGATCGACGAGCGATGATCGACCCGGCGGAGATGTTTCTCCCGCCCTTCACTGAGAATCGTGGCCATGCGTTCGTTCGCCATCACGTCATCGAGTGGCAGCGCCAGTTCACAGCCTCAAACCTGGCTACTCTGTGTGAAGTTTCTCTGTCTCTTTCTGTCTGCCATGTCTTGACGTTGGGATTCCTACGAGAGCAGTAACTGCGTGAGTCTGCCAAGGCCATCACGACCAATGGAAAAAAGAACCATAATCGTACGACATTTTGTCGAGTCTAAGGTATGACTGCGACGTAATCGTGGCAGTGATCATGCAGCAATGTTTCCACTTCGGGGGGGCGTTCTGTCCGGTCTAGGAAACACCCAGGACAATCCTTGGCAGAGACATACATCATCGATGGAGCTGCTTTCCTTGTCTGATACGTCCATATGTACCGAAAATCCCAGAATCCCTGACCTATGCATGAGCTGTAAGTCTAATCCTGTCGTGATTTTGTGAGCCTTGTGAAGCAAGCACGCCAGCTGGGCTTCAGGCCAGTCGAATGCACTGCGACGTGTCAAGAACATCACTGAAAGGACGCACTTTCTCAGACGAATGCAATCTGGTACAGGCCAGGCAGGCTAATCTCAGATCAATTAATTATATTCCTCGTCTGTGGTTATAGAAGCAGTGAGCTCACTACATAGGTAATTTAGCAGACAGACGATGGAAATAGAATGCTTCTCCCTACTAAGTTTTGATAGTATTCCTTTCGATTGGTGTAGGATGTATGTACACGTATTGTTCCATGGAATGGACTTTTGAACTATATGTTCGATCTCCTCAGCGATTATTCTAATAGCATACTGAATTTCTGCAATCGCGTGATCCGTTGCCAGAATGGTTATTGGATTGGGGAGGGGATGGGGTTCAGTGGAGTTTGTTCTGCGTAGAAAATGTCGCAATGCCTGCATCCGGTAAGTATGTATATGTAGAGTTTTAACAGGGAAGTTATATTTTTGATCTAATCTTATATGTATGCTGGTGCTCCTGTTGGTAGAAGAAATTAAGTTAATGACATATTCATTAACGAAAAAAAAGGGGGGGGGGGGGGGGGGGGGAGAATAGTATAAGAAACAGGTCTACAAACGGGAACTTCCTTGAACGTAGTCAGCCGGAGACTTATCACCAATGTCATGGCGTACTAAGGAGAATTGATTGTTGAGGAATCGCGTATGTCAAGTTTACTACATAGTCCGGGGCAGCAACGATATAGCAGATCTACGACCCAATCATTCATCGTACGTAGTATAAAGTCGGCAAAAGTTGCCTCTAGAGACGAATAACCTGGAAGCTCACCCGTGTGGAATCCGTCGTGGTGATATTGAAAAGGGTTTATATGAGCATAGTCTGTATCGGATTCTTTGATGCTGTGTAAGGGCGTAGCTGATGGAAGAGGAGTTTTTTTTCCCACCTCCTTTTGCTTTTACTAGAATGCAACGTCGAGAATTTTAATAGCATTTACAAAAAATAAACTCAAATAAAGCAAGAGAAAAGGGAGGAAGAAATTAAATAAAAAAGTCTGGTCTTCTCACATGGTGATATGAGACTCATGCGTACGTTCTGGACGGTCGAACAGGCACTTGTCGTTCTCCTGACCAAGATATCACATATATGTCTTTCTGTCTGTCTGGGCAGAAGATCAAGGAAGTAATCGAGGATTGTCAGTTCTGTCATTTTTGTTCCTCGTTTGCGCAGCGCAGCGAAGATTGATCTGATTGATATGATTGATAGAAATTCATTACACGATTTTGCTTTTCTGTTGATCTGAATAGTAGAAATTCACCATACAGAGTACGATTTTGCTTTTCCTATCTATCATCTGATTGGTTAATGGAAAGCAAAATCATGTGATTAGAAGTTCATCATATGCTTTTGCTGTGCTTATACCACCACCTCCATCCAGGTCACCTACAGAGCCTGTAGGGGAGCTCATGCTGATTGGCCGAATGTCATTACTACGCGCTACGCAAGGACTTAGGGCCCTTTACGCCCTAGGAAATGGATTTTCTGATAGTTTCAGAGCCTATTCTTGCTTGTTGTAGTCCATCTTCTAGTGGCTTCGCAGAGAGCAGTGGCAGCAAAAGGGTCCTGTTTCCTAGCCTTTCTCTCGACTTCTTCTGTCTGGCGCCGATGCTTATTCAAGTGGGAATCAAGAGCTGCGCCTCTTAAGGGCCTCTTTCGCTTTCGCTTGGAGACAGCGTGTCGAGTGGTGGCGGCAAGTTGGAAACCCTGACCCTATGCCCTAAGCCCTAATCCAGCCACTGGCCAATCATCTCCAAGGCGTTTCTCCACAGTGACTTCCAGGCGGGTCTCCTGCAGATCCTCTGCCAAGCCTACTCCGTACTCCGTAGACGCCCTCAGGCTGTCGTTTCTGTCAGTCGGTCGAAGCATCTCCTCCGATTAGATTATTGAACTTCTGCCATTTATACTGCCACGCCATCACAATGCCTAGAGCTGTCAAAGGTACACCAATCTTAATCCACTTCCCATAGTCCAACGCTGATCGGTCCTAGGAGTCCTTGTCGAGTGCGATCCCTCCGTCAAGGCCATCATCCTCAAGTACGACGAGGAGCGTCATGACTACATCGTGGAGGACCTCGATGACGACCGCCACCTGGTCATCAAGGAGAGCCAGCTGCAGAACCTGAAGGAACGGCTGGGAAGAGTAGGTCCACACTTGTCCAACATGGGCTCACATCGCGCCACATACTAAGGGGTGATTCTCGTTACAGGAGCTCGATGAGAAAATGATGCAGCCGGAGGAGTCGGACTCCGAGTGATTGGCACGACTTGACTTGACATGTTGTTGCTTTCCTACGAACCTACTGAGTCGTCGTCGGTATACGCAGTGGTCTATATTACGAGTTGCTGCTTTCCTACGAATCTACCGAGTCATCGCCGATATACGCAGTGGTTTATATTACGGCATACCGTTCTGAAGTGCCTCTGCGTGATACGTTCTTTCCCGTGGCCTCGAAGCTGAGTTTATCAACCATGTGCGGATATCCTCCTTGACAAAGAGCTATACGACGGACACAGTTCAAAGACCTGGTCTCTGTGCACGTCACGTTGCCGTCTTGGTGTTATAGTCCGCTCATGGCTCATTGCTCCAGTGGACGTCATGCGAATGCTCTCAATCCGCCTACTATCGGGATGCTAGGCGAGCTGTTTACGGCGATCGCAGCGCCGTGTTGAGCATAGCTGTTGGCCAAACAGGCCTTTTAGCGGGTTGGAGTGACGGATCACGATTGTCTGTGGGAGCTTAAGGCTCTTCTACACCGAAGCTGTGAAGTTGAGAATGGGCTATTCTCGAGAAGTTGAAATTTGTATGCACTAGAAAATATGAAAACAAGTATTACCAAGGAAAGCGTCAAGTACTCAAAGAAGTATTCTGTTCTTGTTTTCGTAAGGACAAAGTTTTATCTGTATCTGACAGATAAGAAAACAATTATGATCTTCGCCAGCAGACATACAAATGAGGTTGCTGTAGAATAGAATACGAGAAGTAGATGATGACATCTCGAGCGTTATCTCTTAAGACAACTATTCTATTCGTTTTAGTTCGATGCGTTAACGGTTCTTGGGAGGCAACCCTCCCCACTCCATCCAACGTTCGGAAGGACCTTCCAAAAGACAATTAGCTCGTCTGTATCGACTCCATTCGATCTATCCAGCTGAAAAATGCAACGGTTCATGCCAAGTCTCTTTGAGTTCTGAGCTGTGTGTGTGTGCAGGTAGGCAAGTAACGTTGGAATCCACAATAAATTACATAAGGCAAACGAGGCTGAGCGGAATCACCCGCTCGGGAAGAGTGCAAGAGACCCAGACCAGGACCATACAATAGTCCGGGATTATTTAATTTTTATTATAAATAAATTATTATTTTTTTCCTTTTAATTTCACTTTTTTTTTTACACACTTTCTGTGGAGAAAATGCTACTCTGTTACTCTGCTCTACTCCCAAAGGAGCAGTTATCATGACTAATTGCAGCTCCGTTCATTCGCAGATAAGCTGCTGCTACAATATCGGCCAACTCAGCAAACCAAACCAACTGCAGTAGTAGTAAGCCTTACGCCCCGTCATTGTAGTCATAGTCATAGTCTTGGTCGTGGTCATGTAAGTAAGCAAGCCAAGGCAAGACAAGGCCTGCGCCATCATCGAAGGATTCGTCCCCCCCACAGGACACCGCCCCATAGTGACCCGAGCACTCGCAGTGCACAACCGAAATTCAACATCACCTCTCGACCGCGTTGGAAAGAACGTGCCAATTTGTGGCCTCACAGCGCGTTTTTTGGCGATTTTTTTCGCGATCGGGAGCTTTGTCGGTGGTGACAGACCGTCCCAGGGGATCAGCATCGTCAAATCGGGGCTCCGGTCGGCTGGGCTGCGCAGCTGTGGCTCGTTTCGCAGCGAAGGCGCAGAGCAATGTATGAGGGATTTTCCCCGTCCAAACGCTTGGGAACGCACGCCCCGCTGGCCGGCCGGTTTTCGACGACGACGACGGTATGCCGTTTTTTGCTCTGTCCCGAATTGTCCTGCTTTAACGTGCTTGCTGCAGACTATCTATCCGTTTCGATTTTTCGTGTCTCAAAATTATAGTCTCCCTCTCTTCCCCGCTTAGAGAGATTCATCGTCCGCCAGGCCAATGACCGCCGTCCTGTTCCTCAGAATCCACTGTTCCCATACAACTACTTCCTACAGTAATTGCTCTGGAGAAGAGAGTTCTGCCTTCCCTTGAACCCACTGACTGCACTGGCAGGTTCCAGGTACCTACCTGTTCCCTTTTTTTTTTCCTAGCAGGCGTCGTAAAATCCCGCACTGCACACTGGCAAAAATTCCGTAATTGACTAGATTTTTTTTTCTTTTGCCTCCCCCGAAGACGACGACGGTGGCTAGAGGAAGGAAAAGAATCCGTCATAGCTGTCCTGCCCACAGCCCAGTATCATCGTCACGTCGCTTGTGTACACCAGAGCCGCCTTGCCTGGTGGAACTCAAGAGTTTTCCCCATCCAGGGAGAGCTATGTGTAAGCATGTGAAAGTAGAAAAAATATCAAGTAATTTTTTTTCGGAATAAGGCAAAAAACCAAGGACGACGACTGAAAGAGATCAGCATGCATCGATACAACAGATGATAGAGAGCAAGCAGAGGAAACGGCCCTATGTATGAATCGTACCCGCGCGGGGAGGAGTTGTTCATTGCTGCCGCTGTCCAGTGCCAGCACTCAGCGGCGGTATGATCTTCAGCCTGCCTCGTCGTCGCTATGATATGCATGCCTTAGAGTCTTAGACGGGGGAGCGGCCGCTGAGCCACGCCTGCTACTTCCACAGCATCCCGTTTCGGTCCCCCCAACGCGGGTGGACCCTCGTGCCTGCCAGTGCTGGGTTAAAACCCTCCTCGTCTGTCGTCCTCGACACACTTTTTCCTTTTCATCCTATTTAACTCGCTCAATTAGCTGTCTGTCGCTCGTGTGTCGCTCTCGTCATGCTGTCCGTTGAATAACACCCAGGGATGCTCATCGACGGTGAGAAGTGGGCTTGTGAAGCTTGCGTGCGAGGCCATCGCGTGTCGAGCTGTCGACATCATGGTATGTCTGTCATAGCGTCCATTGGGATGCCACGCGAGGCAATGGCCTCTTGCGGCCTTTTCTGCGCCATTTTTCACTGACTGCCCTCGCCAGATCGACCGCTGATTCGCATCAATAAAAAGGGCCGACCCTTCTCCGTCTGCCGCCTCTGTCGCGGCCCCTGCAAGGCCAGGGAAGAGCACAGCAAGCTCAACAGCCGCGACAAAAAGTCCGATGGTGAGAGCGATGCAAAGTCCTCCGGAAAAGTATTCATGAACGGCAACGAGGTGACTCCGTTTGATGGCGAGAACGGCTGTTGTTCGCTAACTCGCGGGCTAGAAAACAGCTGTTCGGCGTCGTGTCCAGCCCACTTCCTTTGCACGCATTGCACCACAACCTGCACCTCTCCCGTCTTCAACTGAGCAATCTAATCCTTCTCTTCCTCATCCCACTTATTCCAACCCTCAGCCTCCTTCGCTGCCCCTTCCTCCCTCTTCTACCGCCAGCTTCAGCGCTCCTGCTTTCCCGGCGCCCGGACTGGCCACCCCTGGCCTCGATCTGCTGTCCCAGCAGTCCCCTCCCGTTCCGGGTCCGGTCACCACCTTTCCGCCGGAGACGACGGCCCCGATGGGGTATCCCTACGTGACGCTGCCAGCGATGGAGGATCCTGTCCTGCAGCAGTCGTCGTCCTCCCATCCCTTCCAGTTTCCGGACGACTCTGTGTTTCCGGACAACCCGTCGTCATTGTCGGACAGCAGCTTTGCTCTTGACTCGACGTTGGCCGGGTTCGAAGACGTAGATGCGCTTCCAGAAGATTGGTCGACTTTCTTTTGGTCGCAATGAGTGATGACTCTCTTTGTTGTTTCTTGGACATGATTCTTGATTTCGGCCTTTGTTGGTGTCTGTGAGACCACAGCTATCACAGGATTCCTGTACATACGATCTATTGCCTTATTTGGATTGATACCTAGAAAGACCACAGAGACAAGGGGCTCTGGGCGGCTTTTTCATTTTTTTGGGCTTTGCATCTTCCGTTCGATGTCTCTAGTCCGGACATTTGGTCTCTGGATATGCCATTGCACTTCTACAACTACGGACCTATATAGACGTCCAATTCGATGTTGAAGTCTAGTGCGTCAGGCACGTATCACTATTAGCTGACAGAGAAGCAAATTCCCTGTCACTCTGGTCTCGAAATTTTGCAGTTACAATCCATCGATTCCACGAGTCTGGTGGCTTGTTGAACCACGGTGCATTTTGGGGGCCTGTCTGGTTTCGCGGTGACTAACCTCGGCACTGCCCGTTAAGCTTAGGGCTGGGATTTTTTGCAAGAGGCTCCCGAAAAGGCGGTGGAAATTAACTGAACCATGGGCAGTTGCAGCGCCTTGTGTGGCGCCGGCCCTGGGTGCGTGGGTGCGTGTCTGGAAAATCCCGCGTTGTCGACGGCATCCCTAGATAGCTAGCAAGCCTCCCCGATGATGGTCCTCCCCGTAGGCCTCCTGGACTGGCTCTGCTGGCTCTCCCCCTGGCTTCCTGATCCAGTATCTTGCTGATGGCGCCAGCCGCGCGACGTCACTGTGAGACAGAACCGCGTTCTATGAGGCATTTTTAACTGCCACAGGAACTTGCGATCGAGCGCGGACGCTTCCCGCCACAATGCCGGCCCCTGGAATGGCGACGGCCGTGCTGATCCCGCCTCTAGCTCCGGCAACGCTGAGTTTTGACCATCAGCAAACTCGGAAGTTCTACAGAGGGAGTTCGAACAAGGCTTTGAGATTGTTAGACAGGGAGAATATGGGACAGAGAAAGAGAAAACGACCAAGTCGAAGCTACACGTTGGCGTTCTGCTAACGATCCAGCTGCCACAATTAAACGTGCAGTAATTAATGACATGCTTCTTTGCGATGGCCATACAACTTGCAAGCTTGATCGAGCTAGAGCGGTAACTTCCGTTGGAGCTTGACCTGTGAGCCAACAATATCCAACATCCAGTGCCATCCACGGTGGTTCAGGGCCTCAGCCAGCCTCACGTGGAGTAGGCACGATGATGCGCTGTGCCATCGGAGGTCCGCCTCTTGATAGTTGCATTTTTGGATCCTCTGGTCCAAATATTGCACTTCTCTTAGAAAGACGGTTGCGTTGGTCGAATTGCATGCGTTTCTGTCATGAGAATGCTACGGCCAATCGATGATGTCACCCCAACGCACTGATCCTACTGTGACCAAGTGCCAATTTTTTCCCCCTTTCCGAGCCGGATCAAGTGCATGTACAGGGCTGTACAGCCACATCACAGAAGCTTAGCGATTGACCAATGGTTGCCTCATCGCCAGCTCTCGGTCGACAGCCACCAGACATCGGCAGCACGGACAATGTCCAAGCTTTCAAGGCTTCAAGCTTATCCCAAGGCTGTCGACACCACCTGGTGAGGCTATTATGAAATGGAATTATGAATAGTCATTGATAGACGCTTTGACGAACACTCAAACGCCGATTGGTGTGTGTCTGAGCTTCTGATTGGAAGAGAAAAGCTGATCGACTGGAAGCATCGATCACGTCGATCCAGATCCTCCCTGATGCTGATGCTTTTAAGATGATGGCCTCTCCTTTTCTCTTAAATAGAATAGGCTTTAAGCTTACAGGACGTGAAAAAAGCCTCATATTCCCAGGCATGGCGAGAGTGACCGTGGCATGATCCAAGGGCGAGCATGTCGTCAGGTGGGCGACGCTTTCCGTCCCGCCGCGATTGGACAGGAACATCACAACAATTCCCTCAGCGTCCAGCAGGCCTCGATATAATGGCGGCAACACGTCGACAATGGGTGGGCATTTGGACAGAATTCCATTCTTTTCCTCTCAGGTGATCGTCCTTGCTGACCAGCTAGCTGTCTTGTTCCAGAAACCACACTGCCGCCAGCATGATATGAGCGTTGCGAAGGCGTAGTCAGTCTGTCTGCTTAGACGGCAGACACATCGCTGCGTTGTGTTACCCCAAGACCACCGTCGGACTGAATACAGCACAGCTCTTTCTCGAGTCAGACAGACCTGTTTGTTCCTCTCCCATCACGCACCTTCACACATCCCGATATCAAGGTGAATCGTTTCGGTGGTCGGAAGCCTGAAATGGGCAATTACCGGGCAGACGCGCAGTTATCAAAACCCTGTGGCACTCACCCTCGACCCAGACAGTCGCCGGACAAGGACAATCGGTTCCGTCTTCGCGACGATGGCACGCATGAGCACCGTCTGTACGACGACAGGAGACAGGATTGTCTCCTGGAGATGCTGCAGGACACGCTCAGGGCGATGAAAGAGACGAAGGGCCAGACGAGTCAGACGGGTCAGACGAGTACAGGGACCTCCCCGGAGTCTCGACCAGCGGGAGATCCTCCTCGTCAGTTGTCAACGACGGAGTCTCTCATCGAACGATACGGAAACTACAAATCACAGATTGGGCGCGGGTCGTCAGGCATCGTCAGGGTGACGTTCAAGCCTCACTCCGAGGAATGTCCCACAGGACGACTTTTCGCAGTGAAGAAGTTTGAGATCCGGCCGCGCGAGTCGCGGAAGAAGTACCTGAAGCGGCTGGGGGCGGAGTTCTGCATCTCATCGGCACTGCGCCATCCGAACGTCATCGCGACGCTGGATCTGATCCGGGACGACAGCGACGGGAACTTCTGCGAGATCATGGAGTACTGCTGCGGCGGGGACGTGTACACACGAGTCCGGTCAGCGGGCAGACTTTCAGCCGCGGAGGCGAACTGCTACTTCAAGCAGCTGCTGCGCGGGCTGGAGTATCTGCACCAGACGGGCGTGGCGCACCGCGACCTGAAGCCGGACAACCTGCTGCTGACGCGGAAGGGAGCGCTGAAGATCGCCGATTTTGGCAACGCCGAGTGCTTCCGCCTGCCATGGGAGAAGACAACGCACCTGACGACGGGGCTGTGCGGGTCGTTTCCCTACATCAGCCCGGAGCAGTATGCCCGGTACACGGACGGGCAGGACGAGTATTTCGACGCCCGGGCGGTCGACATCTGGGCGGCGGGAGTCGTGTATATGGACATGCGGACGGGGCGGCACCTGTGGCGGTTTGCCGTCACCAGCCGGGACAGCGACTACCGGGAGTATGTGCGCGATCGGACGGAGACGGGCATGTACGAGCCGATCGAAGCGTTGGGGGTGAGTATGATATGTCGCGGCACACTGATATATACTAATGTTTTGGATCAGGCACCTTGTCGCAATGTGATCTACGCCATGCTCGACCCGTCGTGGCGGCATCGTCCGATGGCGTCCGAGGTGCTTCATTCGGACTGGGTCGAAAGGATCTATGTCTGCAGCGCTGGCGAGAGTGGGTGTTAGTCGACGACAAGTGTACAATGACGTATGTATGAGTACGAGAGAAGTTAGAAGTCTTTTCACGTGGTGAACATAGTTCATGCTGTCATTGTTGACAAGAGTTTGAATTTGTTTCAAACTGTTGAAGAAGGTGTATGTAGATACATATCCCCAAGTTATATTTTCAAGGATTGCGACGGAATCTCTCTCTATCGTCCTTTGTCTGCGCCATGTCAAGCTTCTATGTCTTGGGACTTTATCGTAACATACAGTCAACTATGTAGAAAGATAATTCTTCTATCAATATCAACTGAAATTGTCTGTCCATCCATCGTCTAACCATATATATATTTTGTCTTGCCCCTTCCTCAATTCAATCCCAAAGAGTGGCTGGCCCTTCTAACAGAAATCTCAAGTGATCCTCTTATCATACGGATATTGTTCTCTCCCCATCCTGTCCACTTCCATTTCGGTGCTAAGTATGTACTGTACTGCAATCCCTCAATCGATCGATCATTTCAACGCTGCCACCAGCTCCTCCACCTCCTTCATCGCCTTGGCATTGTTCTCCCCCACATCCAGCGCGACCAGGAACCGGCTAACGCAGTTGTATGCTGCGATGGTGGCGGTCAACTCGACGATTTCGCGGTGTGAGAACAGGCCTGATCCAGCACCCCCTTCCTGAGTGTCATTATCCTGCTGCTCCGGTCCTCGCAGCAGATCAAACACCCTCTCCTCAACCTTGACATTGCGCGTCATCTGATCCGTATAGAGCAGCACGGCCCACTGCTTCTCCGTGAGGGGGGAATCAGTCGGTCGTTGCGGAAGGCCCTCCCCATCGAATGATAAATAAGGCAACCTCTTCACCTCACTCAGCTGGTTCCCCGAAACACCCGCCTTCAGCGCCAGCGGCGCATGCGCATTCCACTCGTACACCGCGTCGTTGAGAACCGCTACCCGACATACCGCCAGCTCGAGAAGCCCGGCGTCCAGCACCGTGCGTGACCGGATCGCTCCTAGGAAGCTGTTCCATCCGTCTGCTACGGAGGGAGAGTGTAGCAGTGCTAGGTCTAGTGGGATTAGTGGGCGAGGGTGTCGTCTAGCGGCGATGCGGGAGTAGATTTCTGCTTCTTCGGGGGAGGAGGGGGAGGGGGTGGAGGGGGCATAGGGAATGCGCATGTTTTTTTTTTCCCTTAAAAGAGGATATAGGATTGCACTGTAGAAAAGTGCCTTCAATCAGATATATGCTCACACACGTAGTGAAGATAGAAATGGGTGTAATATGTCGTACGTCGTGTGTGGTATTGAGACGGCGAAAATAAAAAAAAAGTAGTGAGAGGAATCAATTGATTGATATGTAGTGTTTATAATAAAGCAGGGTACAGTGGTGACAAATAAATAACCTGTAATAAATATTGCGAGAACTGGTTGTGGGAGTGATGATGATGAAGAAGAGGAGGAACGGCGGGGGTGGAGTCTGCATTAAATAAATACAACGACAACAACATATGACAGAGACGGAAAAGATTATTTGCAATACGTATTTGTGGGGATTTTTTTTAAATTTCTTACTTATTTATTATTTTATTTTTATTTAATTGGCTTTTTTTTTGCGTTCTCTGATTGTGTTACTATACTCCGTCCTCCGACTTCGTGCTGATTTATCTACTATTTACCGCTGGAACTGTCGAATGCAATGCAATGCAATCACATGCTCATGCGCATTCATGCAAATCAAGCAATACCGTACATACACGCTAAAAAAAAAAAGAAAGGAATCAAAATATACACTCGAAAAGGAAAAAATGCATATTCCTCAATGGGTCAAGTTCGTGTCACGTAACCAGAAATAGGCAGGTATCATGCCTGACTGACGTCAGGCGACTTTACAGCCGCGACGCCGCCAACGTCGGAATCGACTTGGACCCCAGCGAAATGTTGAACTCCAGGTCCAGCTCGGCCTTGGGGTCGCCCTCGCGCGGCGCAAAGTGCACGACCAGCCCGTCCTTGACGGCGAAGACGGCGTCTGTCTTGAGGTGCGGGTCGTCGTCCGGGTAGAGCTGCGTGATGACGGTGTGGTAGTCGGGGTGGGTGATCTGTGTCGTTAGCTAAGTAATCTATGCTGTAGGGGTTTTCCTGGTGGGGGTCTTGTTCTTACCATCAGGTGGATGTGCGCCGGGCGCATCGGAGACCGGTCCATCAGCTGCAACAGCTGCCAGGCAGGGCCTAAGTCACGTCAGACATGAATGATCCTAGACAATGTGGACTGAGATTTCTGCTCACCATCCGTCGGCAGCGAATACGCCGTCGGCTTCAGGCAGTAGAACCCATAGTAACCGTTCTCGTCCGTGCGGAACTTCCCCCGCAGGTTGTTGGGCACCTGGTTCTCCGGGTCCTGGAAGTCGTACTTGCCGTTGGACGACGCCTCCCAGATGTCGACGACGGCGTTGGCGATGGGCTTCTTGGTCTGGGCGTCCGTCACCTGCCCGTGCATCCACGTCACCTGGCCGTTGTGCGGGCTCAGCACGATCGTGTCGCCGTTCTCGCGGAACGGCGTGTTGGGGCTCCAGAACGGGCCCAGGATGGAGGACGTCGTGGGGGCCTCGTCGGACTTGAGCGCCAGCTTGTGCGTGATTTCATCGACGAGGCTGAGCCGTTAGCTACGCCTTGAATTAATCATGTCTAGTAATGTCCAACTTACGACTCCAATCCCAGAATGTCCGAGATGCGGTGCCCCTCGTTCCGGATCGGGCTGCTCGCCTGCCCGATCGAGTTGAGGAACTTGACGCCAATGAACCACTCGTCCCAGGTCAGGTCGACCTCGCGCGCAAAGTCATGCAGATGGCGGATCAGCGCGCTCAGGATCTGGCGCGCGCGCGGCGGCGTGTTGGGGCCCATGGCGTTGATGACGCTGGGCGTCAGGTTGGGGTCGTAGCCGCGGGTGTCGGCGTTGGAGGTAGCGTTGGCGGACATGGTGATATTGTCAGGAGATGATCACAGAGAAAGTAGACTGAGGTGAGGCCAGGCGAGACGAGGAGAGACGATGCTGTCGATGGTGACTGAGGCTTGGGGGTGCTGGCCAGCTATATATGCCATGCTTGATACTGTCTGCTGCTGCCGGCAGATCGATCGGCTGTTCGCAGCGGAAATCCGTTTTGCCCGCGGGCCAATCGCAGCGCTGCCATGTGCTCCCCGCGGTGGCTCGTTCCCCGCACTCCGGATGCTGCGCCGGGAGCCAGTTGTCGTCATGCTATCTAATCGTGCCGCCCTGACTGGCCCGTGCCCGCCGCACGTGGCGCGCCGGCTAGTCGCTGTCAGCGTCGCCGGCATGACACTGCAAGGGACAGAATATGAATTCAGAGAGAAGAAGAAAGCAGTGCATGTGCAGTGGCATACGGAAAATCGCGCATTCTACCTGTAGATGGATGTATACTGTCCTCCGTCCGGAGTACATCTGACTCGTCTTCGCAACGCAGCTTGTACTACTGCGGGGTACGGGATGCCGAACGATAGATCGTCCGGAGAATCAATACGGAGTCGGTAGTGCCTACGGCGAAGATCACCCATTGCGTTATTATCTTTGGCAATTGTCAATCGAACAGTTGCTATTTCCTTCGCACCGAACTTCATACCGAAAACAAAATAGATCATCTCAACTGGCGGGGCTGACTGTGACATCTTCCCCGCACGGCCGCTGATTGGCCAGCGCGCAGGTCGGCTGTTGACATCGGATCTTCTGCCTGAAAATTAATTCCGCCGCATCCATGCCCCGCGATCTAATCATATCTGCTGGCCGGACAGTCACAATGTCGACCATTCCTTTCTTCGTGCATTCTCCTTCTGATCTTGTGTGGTGTTTCAGCTCGTGATTCTCTGCCACCATGCGCCACCATCTGATGGTGGGCACCTGGACGCCCCCAGGCCGCATCTACACCATCGAGTTTGACGATGAGGCCCTGACGCTCAAGCTGATCAAGAAGACCGACATCCCCGAAGATGAGCCCATCTCGTGGATGACCTTTGATGTGAGCAGCGCGTTCTGCCTCCGTCGATCCTGGCTAACGTCCTCCTCCAGCATGCAAAGAAAACATCTACGGCGCCGCCATGAAGAAATGGTCGAGCTTCGCCGTCCACAGCCCGACTGAGATTGTCCATGAGGCATCACATCCCATGGGCGGACACCGTAAGTCCCAAGCTGTACGTGGATAGAGCTTCTTTGACGACGTCCAGCACTCGCCTCGTCCGCCGACACCAACACCCGCGCCATCTTCGTCCTGGCGGCCCACAAACCCCCGTATAATGTCTACGGCAACCCCTTCTACGACTACGCCGGCTACGGCAACGTCTTCTCCGTCACCGAGACCGGCAAGATCGACCGCAACATCCAGAACTTCGAGCTACTCCCCAACTCGGGTATCCATGGCATGGTCTTCGACCCGACGGAAACCTACCTCTACTCGGCCGACCTGCGCGCCAACAAAATCTGGACGCACAAGAAGGACCCGGAGACGGGCACGCTGACGCTGGTCGACTGCATCGACGCCCCGTCGCCCGACGACCATCCGCGCTGGGTCGCCATCCACCCCACGGGCAACTATCTCTACGTGCTCATGGAGAACGGCAACCGGCTGGCCGTGTACGTGATCGACGAGCACCGCCATGTGCCCGTGTTCACGCGCCTGACCTACCCGCTCATCCCGCCGGGCCTGCCGCCGCGCAACAAGTACCGCGCCGACGTCGTCTTCCCCTCGCACAGCGGGAAATACCTCTTCGCGACGTCGCGCTCCAACCACTTCGACGTGCACGGCTACATCAGCGCCTTCAAGCTGGGGCCCGCCGGCAACATCGAGAAGCAGCTGTTCATCAACCCGACGTCGACCAGCGGCGGCCACTCCAACGCCGTCAGCCCGTGCGACTGGAGCGACGAGTGGCTGGCCCTGACCGACGACCAGGAGGGCTTTGTCGAGATCTACCGCTTCCGCGACGAGTTCCTGGCTCGTGTGGCCAGGGTGGATATTCCGGAGCCGGGATTCGGTATGAACGCGATTTGGTATGATTAGTACGGAATATAGCGACTAGAAAGCACTTATTATAAAATATGTAGCTGTTAATAGATTAAGAAATTTTTTTTTAAAAAAAAAGGTAAGAAAATCGCATATGTAGATACAACAATCGAATTCTTTCGTGTCAGTAATAGGTACCTCCATCAACCGGGCGAGCGGGAAGCCGATGATTGGCTCCGGCCTTCTCCGCGACTCTCCTGCTGGGACGCAACGGCCCAGCAAACTTCCACGGGCGAAAGCTCGGCAGTGAAGCTCGGGATCCCAGCGGAATATCTTATTAAAATAAACTGCTTGCGACTGGCCAATGGATTTGTTCGTCCAATGGAAGTATTCGCGGGGCACTGTGTACTAGTGAAGCCCCTCTTACGGTCTTACCTGACCTGCCTATGCGGGGTTGGCCTTGATTACTCCTGGTCATTGCATCCTTCTTCTCTGCTCTGTAAGTAGAGCTGTGGTTTCAGGTTTGATGGCTGTGTTCATCCGTGTGACTGATCATTAACGTTGGGATAGCAGTTTGATCTGATTCGGGTCCTGTATACGACGGCCAACTGGATTTTATATTATACAGGTCTCTCCGACAGCACCACAGCGACACGAGGACTGCGAGGATAGAAGCTCGTCTCATCGAATTGGACTCTGAATAAACCTTCTCATTTTCTTTTACATCAACAAAATGCCTACCCCCAGCTTACTGTACGTCACCATGCAGCCGCGGCCAGGCCTCTCGGCCGCCCAGTTCCACGACTGGTACAACAACGAGCATGGCCCGCTGCGTCTGCGACTGCCCTTCATCCCGAATGGCTTCCGCTACCGCGCGACCGACGGCGACGGCGACTACAGCGAGTCGAAGCCCGAATGGCTGGCCTTCTACGACGTCGCTGACTCGGTCGAGTTCACGCGCCCGCCCTACACGACTCTCCGCGAGGATGCCGTCAAGACGCCGCGCGAGAAGGACACCATGGCCCAGATCGCCGTCGACCGCCGCATGTACGACTTTATCCAGGAGTGGCGCGCCGATGACTACCAGCCGCTCGACCGCATCGATGCCTCGCCCGCCGGCCACGTCCTCGTCGCCGTCAGCTTCTACCTCCAGGACCCCAGCCAGGAAGCCGAGCTGGACCGCTGGTACCGCGAGGAACACGTCAACCTGCTGTCCAAAGTGCCTGGATGGCGCCGCTCCCGCCGCTTCGTCACCTCGTCCGTGACGAACCCGAAGCCGTCTGAAAAGGAGTATCTCGCCCTGCACGAGTACGCCCCCCAGAACGGGCTCGGCGGCCCCGAGTTCCAAGCGGCGACTAGCACGCCCTGGACGCAGGAAATCTACAGCAAGGTCGTCCGCGACAGGAAGCGCCGCGTGTACGAGTGGCACTACACCTTTGGCCCCGCGCCCCGCGACCTGCAGCCCCTGGCCAGCCCAGACTATGCTGCGACGTTCACCTCGCGCGACGGACTGACCAAGACCTTCACCGCGTCTCAGTCGGGCACCAACTGGCCCGTGATCGAGTCGTACGTGACGACAGCAGACGGCGTCACGATTCCGTACCGACTGGAGGGCGCTCCAGACCGGGACGCGCCGCTGATCGTGCTGAGCAACTCGATCCTGACGGACTGGGGCATCTGGGACGACTTCCTGCAGGCGTTCTTTGCCGTTCCGCAGAACAAGGTCTACCGTGTCCTGCGCTACCGGACCCGCGGCCGGAATAACGACGGGGGCAAGCTGCCCGTGACGATCGATCTGCTGGCGCAGGACCTGATCACGCTGCTGGACGCGCTGCGTGTGCCGAAAGCGGCCGCCCTGATCGGAGTCAGTCTGGGCGGCGTGACGGTGCTGAACACGGCGCTGAAATATCCTGCCCGCGTGGGCAGTTTCATCTCCAGCGACACCAACGCCGTCGCTCCGGCTAGCAACCCCAAGGCGTGGGCGGAGCGGATCGCCCTGGCGGAGGGAGACACGGACTACCCCGTCGACGCCGAGGGCGCGCGCCTGATAGGCGAGAAGCTGGCCGAGGCGACAGTACGCCGGTGGTTCGTAGCCGAGAGCTTCGATGGCGGCGCGCAGGAAGCCCGAGCAGCGAAAGTTAAGGAGTACGTCCGGACGAACCGGCTCGACGGGTTCAAGCAGAGCGTGCAGGCGCTGTACGCGTACGATGTACGCGAGCAGATGAAATCGGGGCAGGTCAGGGGCATCTTCACCGTCGGCAGCGGCGACGGCATCCTGCCGAACACGATGAAGGAGATGGCGGCAAGCTACGCGAACGGAGTGCCCCTGCATGTCATCGAGAGAGCAGGACATCTGCCTATGGCGGAGCAGCCCGAGAAGTTTGCGCAGGTCGTCACGGAGTTTTTGCAGGGGAATTAATTCATGTATATATGTAATCAATCGACTACAGATGAGTGTGTAAATAACCAGTGTAACTATTATTATGACGATTTGTTGCGAATAAATCATCACTACATACTAGTAAATCAGAAAACGAAGCCAAGACAAAAAAAAGAAGCAGGTTATGTATTCTCCTGTCAAAAACGCTATACGGCCCCGTGAGATTTCAGCAGCTGGACTATTCTCTCGTTTCCCTCTATTCTGCGTATGACAACGCTGTTCGACCATATTTATTCTAGTCGACGTTGATGTTTGGATGGCTCAATAAGATCTTCAATACGATTCTCACGTCGTCCTCAGACCAGTCATCAGCGCTCGCGATTATTACAGCCAGTATCAGTGGTGTATACCCATGATTATCTTCGCTGTTAACGTCGATGTGGGGGTGATTGACCAGGAGTCTGACCGAATCTGTCTGTCTGTTGTATACTGCAATCCAAAGTGCTGTTTGTCCAGAACAGTCCTTTGAATTGACTTCTATATTCTTGCACGTCAGAAGCAGTCTGACCACTTCAACATTTCTACAGCGAACTGCGTGGAAGAGTGGTGTTCGCCCGTCGCGGTCTTTGGCGTTGATGTTAATATCCTTGCAGGCCAGAAGCAGTCTGATCGCTTTCTTTCTTCCAAGCCGAACTGCATCGTATAGTGGTGTTTGCATGTATCTGTTTCTGGCGTTGACGTTAATATCTTTGTGCGCCAGAAGCAGTCTGATAACTTTCTCAGATCCAAATTCAACTGCCTGGAATAGTGGTGTTTTCCCATGTCTGTCTTCGGCGTTGACGTTAATACCCTTGTGGGCCAGAAGCAGTCTGGCCAATTCCTCATTTTCAAGCCCTGCTGCATGGAATAGTGCTGTTCGCCCGTATTTGTCTTTGGAGTTTATATCGATGTCCTTATGGCGTAGGAGTAGCCTTTCCGTCGTCTCGTTCGAGTTCTTCACCGCAAAAAACAGTGGCGTCTGTCCAGTCACATCTTTGGGGTTGATGTCGATACCCTTGTGGGTTAGAAGCAGTTCTACTATAACCTCATTTTTACCAATCGCAGCCAAATGCAGTGGCGTCTTTCCGTATTTATCCTCAGAATTGATGTCAATATCCCTACGGGATAGCAACAGCCTTACTACGGCTTCCTTCTCGTATGCCACGGCGCGGGATAGTGGTGTCCACCCTTCGTCGTCTTTGGAGTTGATGTTGATATTCTTCGAGTTTAGAAGAAGCCTCACCACTGCCTCATGGCTGTTCTCTGCTGCATGTGATAATGGGGTTCGTCCATACGAATCTGTAGCGTCCACTTCTGAGTTGTTTGTGGTAAGAAATGTAGACAGGGTGCTGCTGAGACCAAATCTCGCGACAATATGGAACACGGTTACTCCGTTTGGGTAATCATTTTCCCTTTTCGAGAGACCGGATATAAGAAACAACTTGATCCATTGTTGCAACCATTTGCATGAAGTCTGAAATAACCGCAGCAGATCTTTCTCCGGTGCATGGTGCTTCTCCGCGTGTACAGCGTGTGGAATCCATGACTCTATTGCATATAATATCAGTGGACACTTCTCGCATAACGTATCTTTAAGATGGATATTTTCCAAAACACTCCTTGATTTGGCGTTGTGTATAACTCTAAACTCGTCCATACAGAGACACCAGGCGCATGACCACGATAATTCGAGGTGTGCTCGAGCAAGAACATTGCCCGACGGCCTGTTCTCAAGGAGCTGGATGCCGCCTTGAACGAGGTAGTCGCTGACCGATTGATGAACAAGTTGTATTATTTTGCGATCATCACCAGGAATAACCTCCGCCAGGCCTCCTGAAAGATCTATAATCCTCCTTTCCATGTCTTCATCTGTGTCCACATACGCGACAGAACTTGCACACTCTCTGAGCGAGTGGTATGGTGCATCGGGATCCATGACAATAGCGAAACGCATCTCTCGCACGGACAGAGGTCGGAGCGCAAAACAGATCCATCGCATTAGCCGTAATGAATAAGGTCGTTCATCATCGGGAATGCTACCCAGAATCTCACGGTAGAGGTCGTGCAGCTCTTGCGGTAATCTCCTGATGTTGTGTTGGATTGTACGCAGAGGAACTCCTTTCCGGCATTGCCAGATTACTTGTGGGACGATAAGAACGATCCATTGAAATGCCCCGTTGGCTACGTTAATTAGTTCAAATCTCCCCCGGACATAATTTTCAATATCAGTCGGATTTTCAACTTCAACACAAATTTCAAGACCATTGCACAAGGAAATGATCGGGTAATGCCGACAGGAGAAGCAAACATGCAGAGAAATGTTCGATTGCCGGGATCTCGAGAGCAGGCTTTGGAAGTATTGCACAAGCTCAACAGCGACCTCTTCACCTGCCTCATCCAGGGCATCAACGTATATGCGATTGGATTTTGTGACCGGCGTGAGGAGGACAGCTGTCAGCCACTCTCTCAGCTCTCCGTCACGCCAACTCCATTTCGTCCCGAAATCGCCTCTTGTATTGTTTCTTTCTTCGTAAATAAGAGATAATTTTGAGAGTTGCCCCGGCGTGTGAGGTAGGAGTTGATACAGCAGGGATTGATACAGACCACGAGGACTCTTCTCGATAGGTGACCCTCGGGCATTGAAAAAGAACCAAGAAATCCTGGCTTGTGCGTGGTTATTTTGCCGAATGGCGTATTTCATTAGAGTGGACTTTCCTGCTCCAGGCTTTCCTTTGACCCACAGAAGACTGGATCGAGCCCGGAGCCAACATTTGTAGTTAGGATGTGTCGTTAACCATTCACATGTTCTATCAGCAGCATCTTGAATTACATGGACGCGGTCCATTTCTGCAAAGAAAAGAGATTGAAGACACTGGAAGTTTTCATCAGAAAAAGTCTGTGGCCTGTCGATAAACACTCGTACCTCGATCTCTTGTCGAGAGGGCTGTTCTGGTCGGTTCCTTCCCCGAACTTTCAGGCAGGCGTTGTTGTCCTGCCGAGATGGGAACACATGCTGCCTCAAACGGCACCACCGCTCTCTCCCCAGCGAAGCGATTTAACGCTGTACATTTCGATTTATGTTTCTCATACAGGCTCCCCAGCTCTCGAACAACTCGCCTATAATAGACATTCTCTGGTGCAGGAAACTTGTTGATTTGGAAGTGATCAAGACCCAACCCAAAGTTGGGATAACCATCGATGGTTCCGGACGTCTTGTCGACAACAAACTCCTGTAAGGTATTCATTAATATTCGCTTCTGCCAATTTGTATGCATTTCAACGGACCCTGAGACCGTCATTACCGACAACGCGTCCGACCTTTGATTCTTTCTGCTCATAGAAGCAAACAATGCTCAAATGATCCAGCTCATCCTCTTTGCACAAGCGGATAAACTCCTGGACTACATAGCAGAGTGTGGGATCTTCGCGACGTAGATGTTCCAGCACTGCCGGCTGCACTTCACAGCCTGCAGCCACGACGGAATGGAGAATGCCCAGGGAGGTGTTTTCTCCTGTGCCACGAAATGGTGTTCCAAGGAAAACCACTCCAACGGTATTGTCAAAAAGGTTCTGATCACCCCTTTCCCGCAGTGTTGAGCTTAACAAGGCCTGTACTAATTAGAGCAGTACTTCACATCGCGTTTAACATCATGCTATTACCTGTTGGATTACCAAGCCACCGAAGCAATGTCCTATGAATATTATTGGTCGTGTTGCACAATGCTACTGCCCAGTCAGCGAGATTCGAACCATCTGATTATTGGAACCTTGCCTTTCGTGCTTCATGCAGATCCCCTAAGAGATCCTCTGCTACCGACGGCAGATTGGTTTTAATAGCATTCGCACTTCGCACCGAACCACTGGGATTCTTAACCAAAGCTCATGATCCGGGAGTTTGGAAAACTTCCAGGGAGCATGTCTGTGTTCTCGAGCCAGTGGACTTTGTTTGTTACCCATGTGAAGTAGGGGTCTGCTCCGATTCCGTGAACAGCGACAATACTGACGTAGGTATTGATTAATATTCAATCTGGAGATTATTATGAAAGGACGTACTCAAGCGAGATATCTTCAGAATCCACATCTTTATTTGAAGGCGAATAAAGAGTTTTGAGACCCAGAAACTCCTCCGAAATAGGATGACGGACGCGAACCTTCTGGGAAGGCTCCCTCTTGAAAACAGAACCAAGGAAGCCAGCCATATCGTGATCTAGCCAAACATTCCATGAAAAAGAATCGAATACTTAGTTTCAATGGAAAGGGACAGATCGTCGAGATGGAAGAAATAGCTTCATCAGAGAGATGAACAATTCAAAAACCGACCTGAAGGTGGCCGCTGCCCACCCCATCTGATGAGGTTGTGCTACAAGGCACCTGGCGAGACTGACATGTATCTCCTGCTATCCCAGCCATATTTGGACCGCAGGCAATCACTCCGCCGACAGATTTGTTCAGCCATAGGTGGTTGTTGCATAGTTGATACCATTGTTCTGCACGAAGCCGAACTACTTCTTTCCAAAGGGATAACATTTCTTGCCAGGTTATTCCTAAGTGCAACCTCTCAGCCTGGCAATAGTCCAGTTAGAGAGCTTACCTAAGGTCAGACATGCGGAACACAGAGCAGGTAGCCGTTGAGCTGAGTTCGGCATACTGCATAGATGCATCCGAGATGGTCTTTAAAATTTTTTAAAGTTCCTCAAGAGGAAAATGTAGCAGTTTTTCCGTATTCTTGGACAACAGAATCCGTGAACGTGGCTGTGTAAATGGATATCTATACCATTCCAAGGGAACCCTCAATCTAACCCCGCAATCAAGCAATCTCGCTAATGTCGTGCTTGAGGTGATAACAAGTATCTGATTGGATCAGTTTAATCAGAGTGCACCTGCAGGATGAGAGAAGCGGGGAAAAACAATGTTGGACCAAGAAGAAAATGCATGATCGGCATGCGCCATCATTCCGGCAGGGATAGACGCGAGGAATAAGACCGGTAGGTAGGACAGACGAATATTAGGCACTCTGTATTGGAAGCAGAGAAACACCATTATTATATAGCTCTCTCCTGTCGACAAATTATTAGCATGGATCACCGTATAGTCAGTGTGCATGCGGAGTAAGTTCTCTTATTCGACAAGGATGATAACATACCTCTCCTCCTTACTTCCCAGACTCATTGTCAGAAAATTGTCCTGACAATATATTATGACATTGTGTCATTGGCCTTAATTTATTGAGAGATGGGCCTGATAGCTTTCCATCGTCATCGTTAGAACTAGCTCCTCTGATTGTATTGCCATTCGCAGAGTCCGGTCTCTGCTTGACTCCCCTTCGGGGCATTTGACACCGGACTGGCTCGAATTCGACGTGGGATTACCCGTTCAGGAAGGTTGCATGCCCATCACTTCTGTCGACGTGGGGAGATTGCAGAGCGTATATGTAACTGTGTACTTCCCTGTACTATGGTTAGTCTATGGCAAACGCGCTTTAGTGACAGAGATGAAGATATTGTTCCACCAATTTCATTCCCTTCTTGATGCGGGGTCTAGATCACCTCCGCATTTCCTGCAGGTCGAGTCACTGCTTGGCATGTTGCTTCCCGTCCGATATTTAATACTGTTCTGAGACGCTACATCGTCACGGTATTTCCTCTGTCTCTGGCTAACGGGCGTGTGTAACCCCCCTCGTAAACTCCCTTTCCTGCTGCCAATATAGCACAATGAGGTGGACGAGCTTGGCAGCCGGCGCCTGCGTATTCAGCGCTGTGCAGCTGGTTCAGAGCCAGTATGTCGAGGAAACGGTCTATCCCTCACGTAAGTGCTCTTTTATATAATCGTAGTGTTTCCAACAAACGGGCTGATGCATTTCCTAGCAAATGCCACCGGCACAGGATGGGAAGACGCATTCGCCAAAGCATCTGCCCTCACGGCGCAATTGAACCTGACGGAGAAGATCTTCGTGGTCACAGGCGTCCAAGGTCCCTGTGTGGGCAATATCCCCGCTATTCCACGCGTAGGATTCAAGGGTCTCTGTCTGCAGGATGGCCCTCTTGCGATTCGTCAAGCTAGCTATGCGAGCGTCTTCCCGGCAGGCTTGTCTGCTGCCGCAACGTGGGATAGAGAGTTGATTTATCAACGCGGTGTTGCGCTCGGACAGGAGTTCAGAGGCAAGGGCGCCAATGTCATATTAGGGTATGTCCAGATTCCGTGCTTTGTATCGTATCCCAGGAGTCATATCTCTAATAATCACGCTGCAGGCCGGTTGCAGGCCCACTTGGAAGATCAGTCGAAGGAGGAAGAAATTGGGAAGGTTTCTCCCCGGATCCGTACTTGACTGGCATTGCATTTTCCAAGACGATCGAAGGCATCCAATCTCAGAATGTGCAGGGTGAGTCCAATCCATTCCTCGTAGGATGTAGCAGATATCGTCCTAACTCAGTCCAGCATGTGGCAAGCACTACATCGGCTACGAACAGGAAACGCAGCGCAATCCCACAGTGAACGCAGATGGGGTGACAATAGAGGCCGTGTCGTCCAATATCGATGATCGCACCATGCATGAGCTCTATCTCTGGCCCTTTGCTGATGGTGTCAAGTCAGGCCTTGCCTCCATCATGTGCAGTTACAACCGTCTGAATGAGACGTACGCCTGCCAGAACAGCAAGACTCAAAATGGGCTGCTGAAAACCGAGCTGGGCTTCCAGGGATATGTGATGTCAGACTGGGGTGGCACCCATTCAGGCGTCGACGCCATTATGTCAGGCGAAGATATGAACATGCCAGGAAACCTGGGCCCTGGCGACTCAACTGTCAGCTCCTATTGGGGATACAACATTACCACCTTCTTGAACAACGGAAGCGTGTCAGAGAGCAGGATCGACGACATGGCGCGGCGCATCCTGACTCCGTATTTCTACTTCCACCAGGACAATGACTCCTGGCCCACCATAGATCTGGATACCGTCCTGCTGAATGGGGGTATCTTGCGCAATAACGTCCCGGCATATCAACACCCCTTCAACTTTGGGAACGTGTCAGATATGAACCGGGATGTCCGGGCCAACCATGGCGACTTGATTCGGCAGATCGGTTCTGCGTCGACAGTCCTTCTCAAGAACGTGAATAACACTCTGCCTCTGCGGTCGCCCAAGCGAATTGCTGTCTTTGGCAATGCTGCTCCCGACTCGTCCGGGGGACCATATGATCCGGAAAACGAGAACGGTCCTCAGGCGGTTGGAGGCGGTTCTGGAACTGGTCGGTTTACGTATCTGATCTCGCCCCTAGAGGCGATCAAACAACGCAATCCGTCAGCCTTGGTAGAGTACATCACAGACAATACGCTTCTTACTACACAGCAGTCGTCAACCATCTCGACCATCTACCCCCAGCCCGATGTCTGTCTCGTGTTCCTGAAGTCGTTCGCCACAGAAGGAGCGGATCGGACGAGTCTTCTGTGCGATTATAACTCCACAGAAGTGGTCAACACTGTCACCTCGTCCCGGCTATGCCCCAACACGATTGTGATCACCAATTCTCCGGGCCCCAACGTGTTACCGTGGGCAGACAACGAGAATGTCACGGGCATCATTGCGGGACACTACCCTGGCGAACAGATCGGAAACTCCATTGCGGACGTCTTGTTCGGTGATGTCAACCCGTCAGGCAAACTGCCCTACACCATCGCCTATCAGGCAAGCGATTACAATGCACCAATCGTCAACTTCACGGGCGTCAATAACAATGATCCCAATCTCTGGCAGTCCAATTTCACGGAAGGTCTGCTGATCGACTACCGCCACTTCGACTATAGCAACATCACGCCTCGGTACGAGTTTGGATTTGGCTTGTCGTACACGACCTTTTCGCTCTCCAACCTTCAGATATCAAGTAATGCATCGAACGTGACCGCGTACCCGCCAAGCTTGGGGTCGCAGATCCCGCCTCCAGGGGGAAATCCAGCCCTGTATGACATTTTGGCGACAGTCACCGTGGATGTGAAAAACACAGGCAGAGTCGCAGGGGCGACCGTCCCACAATTGTATCTCGGTTTCCCTCCTGACACGCCAGGGACAACGCCACCGAAAGTGCTGAGAGGATTCGACAAGACCAGCGTGCTGGCCGCTGGACAACAGGAGACGATTCGGTTCAACCTGCGGAGAAAAGACGTGTCGTTTTGGGATGTCGTGCGTCAGGAATGGGCCATCCCGTCGGGGTCGTTTAATGTCCTCGTTGGACAAAGCAGTCGCGAGCTGCCTCTGAGTGGTGAAGTAACTTTCTTGTAGTTTCCTGTCCGATTCTCTTTCTTTGTGCATTGGCATCAGATCATGGGCATATGGCATGATGATGCTCATTTCAAATGATATGGGTAGAGCATAAAGACCACAAGACGGCCATTACAAGCGGATGAAGAAGGTTGAATATTTACCAGTGTGGGAGAAGCTGATAAAACGTGACTCATATAGGCGAGCGAGCTAGCCCTGCCCTAGGCCCTAAGCCCTGGGCCGGGCAGCTGAACCAATAGTCTCCACGGAGATTCTGAATTTAATTTGATACCATCAATGCATCAGATGAGATATGTAATGGACTTAGTCGAACTGCAAGTGCAATATTCTTGTTCCATTCATACCGCTTTTTATTTTATTTGGCCTGGCGTAGAAGGATAGAGTTAGCCAACTCCGCATCGTAGCTTTCCCGCTGGAGACGAACATGATGTGTCCATTATTTCACCCCTTGAGACCAGCTTATACGGCCTTATCAGCTGGGACATAGCTGTATCGCGCTTGATAAAGCTGCAACAATTCTGGCGCAACCAAGGGTCATGATCCATCCAGGGAGCGAGTTGAGCGATAGACCATCAAGTAGTGACACTTGATACCAAAATTACAAAAATATACTTGAAACTCTACTGGTCTTTTTGCTGTTACCCCCCTTTGGCAATCTCAAGCACCTGGATTGAGATCTGTGTCAATAATATATCTTGACTGGTCAGATGCTATCGCATTGGTGTGTACAGAAATTCGTGTACCGTTTTCTAAAGCTCCACACAGCTAATACTATTGTTCTGAGGTCTCATCATAACCAGAAGACAATAACAGAAGCCTCAATTGATCATCGACGAGCATCAATTACTGTCTTGTTTCCCCGCCTTGACGCCGACGGTGACGTCATGCTCTGCCGGCAGAATCTAGGCGGTCAACTGCGGGCCCTCACACCGCCTTCCCGAAAGAATCTGCACGCCCCTCCGCCCACCATTTTTTCTTCCTTTCCCCCGCGTCGCACTTTTCTCAAGGACGACGGGCATTCATTCTCTTCAGTCGCACCTCGCCTCCACATTCGACGTCTATCTAAGAACATCAATTGTGGAGACATAGTCAAAATGTCGCGCTACGACAACTATGAGACGCCGTTGGCGTCGCGCTATGCCAGTGAGTCTTTTCCCTCCCTGTGCAATCTTGCGCCAGTATTGGAGCTCTGTATGCAGAGCACCAGAATGTATGGTGCCTTGGCACATTATTTTTTGTTGAATCTGCAACGGCCAATGCTAACACAATTTTGTCACCAGGCAAGGAGATGATGCAGCTCTTTAGTGCGCGCTCACGGGCTTCCCAGTGGCGTCAACTCTGGATTGTCAGATTTTCGTCCTGTCCACAATTTGATCCCAGCTGACGAGACTTTCAGTATCTTGCCGAGGCAGAAAAGGAGCTTGGCATCGACAAGATCACCGATGAGATGATCGAGCAGATGAAGGCGAAGGTGGTCGTGAGCGACGAAGCATTCGACGTTGCTCGGGTGAGCTGGCTCGGTACATCTTTTGGATCGCAGAAGAAAGGCCTAATATCTTTCTACTAGGCTGAGGAGAAGCTGAGACGCCATGATGTGATGGCACATGTCCATGTGAGTTGAACCGCTTAAGTGCGATGGTTGATCGCTATGCTAACCGCAATCTCTATCAGGCTTTTGGAAAGGTGCTGATTCTTCCGTTCACGGCTCTCCATTATCACTGACATTGGAATGGTAGGATGCGCCGGACGCAGCCGGAATAATTCATTATGGAGCAACCAGCTGTTATGGTATTTCTTAGACATCCTTCTTCAATCAACACGATCACTAACCATATAGGCAGTAACCGACAATGTAAGCTGCCGCAACCGACATTAACCGCCAAATGACATGATTCAGTGTTTCTAATTGCTCTTCACAACCAGACGGAGTTGATATTCATGCGTGATGCCCTGGACCTGATCCTCCCGAAGCTGGCAAAGGTGATCCATAATCTCAAGGAGTTCGCCCTCAAGTACAAAGATCTCCCGACTCTCGGCTTCACACATGCGCAGCCAGCCCAATGCATTTCTGTGGGAAAGCGAGCTGCCCAGTGGATTCAGGAACTCGTCATGGATCTGGAGGACATTGAGCATGTCCGTGCTGGACTTAAATTTAGAGGAGCTCAGGGCACGACGGGAACACAAGCCTCCTTCATGGAGATCTTCAACAATGATTCGCCTAAGATTGACAAGCTCAACGAGATTCTCTGCGAGAAGGCTGGGTTCCCTGGTTGCTATGATATTTCCACCCAGACATACACCCGAAAGGTCGACTTAAGGGTGGCGAATGCGTTGTGCTCTTTTGGTGCAACTGCTCAGCGCATTGCCTGCGACAGTAAGTAGCAAGCGTCGTTGTATGAGGCAAGCGCTAATTTACTCTGCAGTCCGCCACCTTGCGCACATGAAGGAGATCGAGGAACCATTTGAGTAAGTTTTCCTTATACTATGGATTTCCTGGGTACTATGGAACGCTAACCAAACGACAGGGCTACTCAAATCGGAAGGTACAGTTGTCGATATATCTTTCTCTGAGGCTTTGATACTTACATATCTCAGTTCCGCAATGGCCTACAAACGGAACCCAATGCGCAGTGAGCGCATCACCAGTCTAGGCCGCAAGCTGGCGAGCCTTAACGTCAATTTCTCCAACACCTTTGTCAACCAGTGGTTCGAAAGGACGCTCGACGACAGCGCGATTCGCCGCATCGATATTCCCGAGATGTTCCTGCTGACTGATGCCATCCTGATTAGTCTTGACAATGTCACGAACGGCCTGGTTGTCTACCCAGCCACGATCCGCGCCCACCTGATGCAGGAGCTGCCTTTCATGGCCACGGAGAACATCATCATGAAGATGGTCAGCAAGGGCGCCTCTCGACAGGAGGCCCACGAGCAGATCCGCGTGCTATCGCACCAGGCCAGCTATGCCGTCAAGATGGAGGGCAAGCCAAATGATCTGATCGAGCGGATCAAGAAGACAGAGTACTTCAAGCCCGTGTGGTCAGAGATCGACGCTATGCTCGACCCGAAGCTGTTCATTGGCCGGTCGGCTGAGATTGTGGAGCGATACTGCGGCCAGGGCGGAGTGGTCGAGCAGAAGCTGGCCAAGTACATGGACTACATCAAGTCCAGCGCGACGGCTGAGTTGTCCGTTTGAGGAGGGCATCTGAATGTTCTGGAGTGGCCATATTCAGATTTTTCGTTTGGATAGGAAAAGACGGGATTTTCGAAGACTCTGTGGACATACAAAAGGCGGATTTCAACATATACATGTGTGTTATTTATAAGGCGTCTGGCATGAGAAAATGTGTTTAGAGAGTATGCGATCAGGGTAGATAAAAGGATAGAAATAAGAATTGCGCGTCAATGTCTATGCGTGTGTCTTCCTATGGTATTATCTATATCGACCCTTCATATGGCTACTTTCATTCAGTGATTAATATTTTTAAATGGATTATCAGGCATTAAAGAGCTCTGTGGTGTGGGAATTGTTGCGAACATCTGCTCGGATTAGGTAATCTATTCCCCGGAATTACCCCGCCCTCCTCATTCTCTCCCCGGATTTGTGTTTTCCCCACAAGACGGAGTACGGAGTCGCCCGTCAGCCACGCGGTCGGGTCTGACAACCTGGACTCTACCTCAGCATTCGCATCACGGTTAAAATGAAGAGGAAACGCAGAAATTAAGCGATGCTAATTAACCGAGCTATACGCCCATTGCACCGTTGACCGTTTGAATCTCCTGCCATTTACGCGGGTGGCGCTCTCACAGGCCAAGCCAAGGCCAAGGAAAGGGGAAAGGACCGCGTGGCAATCTATTCTCAAGAGGGAAGTTTTCTGATCGATGTGAATCTACCTCCCTAGGTAGGAATCTATCTCCACGGGGTACATCCCCGGGGGGATGATCGGCCGTCTGTGATTGGCCCCATCGGTAGTAGTGCACGAGTCTGACTCGGTCTACGGTGATGACGAAGTCTTCTTCGTTGGTACCTCGTTAGTACCTGCCTGCCTAGGTAGGAAGGTAGTCCGTACTGGCCTCGGGTTGCCGTCGACCACTGGTCAATGCTGCCGATGCAGCTACCGAACTTTGCTGCGAGGCGTCAAGTTCTTGCAACTCTTGCTTGCCGGGTGCTGGACGTATGATAGCGCTGCCACTGGAACGTGTGCTTGCATGTTTTTTCAAGTGTCCTTCCACTGAGAAAAGTCCAAGGTCTTTTTATCAATGTGGATTCCTTACAAATGGTTCAACTGACTTCTGCACTCAGTTCGCAGAGAGTCTGGTTGTCCCTTCTTCCACTACGTATTCCGTACGTTCCTACAATGAAGATCGACAAAGATTGATAAAGACCATTTATACAGCCAATCAACTGCCAGCTACATGGCAGCTCCTCCTCCAGGAATCTGGACGGTGCGACACTGGGGAGGCTGGAGTCTGGAGTCTGGAGTCGAGACTGGACGGCGCGGGACAAGCTTTCCCCAGAAAATTAATCCCGAACGCCACGCCACCGTCCAGACGGTCACAAGCTGCTGCACAGACACGAGGACAAGCACAGACCATCACCAGCGCTCGAAATTAGCCGCATTGTTGATCTCGATCAGGTGTCATGCGATGACGCGCCAGCTGCAATTGGCAGTTGGAGTAGGGCGTGTAGGTTAATTTCTAGCTGGGCCCGACCAGACAGACGGTCTGACCGTTGACGCCAGACGCCTTTGCTCTAATCATTCTATTCGAGAATTCTTCTCAAAGGATCGTGATCGTATTCCACTACGACGGAGCTTGGATCATGTTAATTGGAAGTATGAATATATATAGGGATTGATCTGATCAATCCCTGTCAATATATCTGGGCCTCTCAGCTGGCTTGCTGATTATCATTCCACCCCGGAGGTTGTTTTCTCCTTTTCTGTTCTTTTATCTTCTTTTTGATTGTCCTGCTCTTGGACATCGATCGCCATGTCGAATGAAAAGACAACGGGGCAGGGTGCAGTTCCTACCACGCGACCTCCGCAGAAGACATTCCTTGGCCAGACCAAGGGAGAATGGTACATCTACTGGATCTGCGCGGTGGCGTCGATAGCGAACATGTAAGACTCTTATACTGTCGAACTTGTTGGAAAGACTGGTCTAATCAGAGAATTACCCAGATTCCAGGGTTTCGATTCCGGTATCTACTCTATCATCATCTCTGACCAGCGGTTCATCGACTATTTCCACGTTGATGGCGCGCGTTCGGGCGTGGTGGCCAGCATGGGTATGAATAACGGAACCTGATCCTTTAACTCTGTATTAGCATTTGCTAATGTCTGACTCTCAGTCAACCTGGGCAATGTCCTCGGCAACCTCTGCGTCGCCTGGTGGTTTATCTGGTTCCTGGGTCGGCGCTACGCCTTTGCTCTGGGAACGCTCGTCCTGCTCGTCGGCGTTGCGTTGCAGGCGGGAGCGACTCGGTTCTCCATGATTGTCGTCGGCCGCATTATATCTGGAATTGGGACGGCAATGTAAGCTACAGCAGTTAGTTGTCATGGTTGACCTTTCAGACTGACCCCTGCAGTATCGGCACCAACCTCGCCGCTTACCAGGCCGAAGTCTCCTCTCCGGCCATCCGCGGCCGTGTCGTCTCCTTTGTGCAGCTATCCTACCAAGTTGGCGTGCTGATCTCGTACTGTGTCGGGCTGGGGACGGTGAAGATTTCCGGAAATAATGCCTGGCGAACGGCCACGGCACTGCAGGTCGTCCCCGGTGTCATCCTGATCCTCGCTTCCTTCACCATTCCGGAGTCGCCTCGTTGGCTGTTGGAGCGATATCCCAACACACCGGAGCGGGCCCTCAAGGAGCTGTCCAAGATCCGCAAGCTGCCCGAAAACGACGAATCGGTGCAGGAGGAGTACCTCGAGTTGGTTGCGTCGTATCAGTATCGCGTCCAGCACGAGGGCGAGTACAGCTGGTGGACCTTCCTTTCGAAATACGCCATGTGGAAACGCATCGCGTACGGCATGGCGACGATGGCTCTGGGGCAGATTTCTGGTGTGGGCGCGCTGATGCTATATGGAGTGTTGATCTTCAAGGGGCTGGGCTTCTCGACAGAGACATTGTCATTGCTCCTGAATGTTGTGTCTGGTATTCTCTGCTTGGCGTAAGTATCCAACTACATTCCGTCAGACGAACGGATTATCTGACGATAATCAGGGCAACGTCCATCACCACCGGGGGTGTCGACAAATGGGGTCGGAGAATTACCTTGATCGTGGGCTCGTCTATTATGGTAGAGACCTTCTTGGAACACCATGAAAACAGCAAGCTAATTTGTGGAATACAGGTGATCAGTTACATCATCATCGGCGCGTTGGCTGACGCGTATCCCACGGAGACCCATTTCAATCGCGCAGCGGCCATCGTACAGGTGATCTTCATCTATGTTATCGAAATGGTAGGCCTCACCTAGATAACTGACTGTTGCGCACGCTAATTGTATTTGTACTGTGCAGGCCTACAGCGGTGCCCTCGGCCCCTGCGCCTGGATCTACGCCAGCGAGATCTTCCCCACGCAAGTGCGCGACAAGGGCGTGAACATCTCCCAAGCCGGACAGCAGATGACGACGCTGTGGATCAACCAGGCGTGGCCGGTCATGTTCGACAACGTCGGCCACGACGCGTACTGGATCCTGATGGCCATCAACCTGGTGGGTCTTGCGGTCGTTTTGCTCTTCTGGCCCGAAACCAAGGGCATCAGTCTCGAGCACATGGACAAGCTGTTTGGCGAAGTCGACAAGGTGGATGCGTTCAAGGTCGAGAATCGCGTGACGACGGTGGAGGACATTTTTGAGAAGAAGGAAGGCAAGGAGACGCAGGCGAACGACAAGGCGGCGACGACACATGAGGAGAATGTTTAGTGTGCAAGGAATGTCTGGGTGATATCCCATCTAATGGTGGAATGCATCCTGAAGCTGTATTATATGTCATATGCAAATTCGATAGTCCAGTCTTATACCTGCGTATGTTCATTGTTTCCAGAGCGTATGTGTCTAATTAGTCTTAACTGGTACCTGTTGCGGTATTCCGTCTCTCTCATTGGTGGATTAACTTCAATATTTATACCTGCGTAGCACTCTGTATCCAGTAGTCAATAATTCTAGATGTGTAACGCAGTTAGAGGCTTGCTGCTCTCCTACAGCAGGAGCGTGGGGTTATGTGCTTGATTTGCAATACAAAGTCTTGTCGCATTTATCATCTGCCCGTGCTTTAAATTGAGGTCATTGTACAGTACACACATGAATATTTTTATCTATAACTACTCCACGACTCAGTAATTAGATCCGTCAATCAATTCCCCTCATTCCCCGGTCTTGTCTAGATGCTTCAAGATTGCGGGGTAATAATCCCGGCCCATCTGCTTGCTCATCTACCGAGGAAGAGGGAAGCATTAATTATTTTATGGAAATATATTTCTCCGTCAGTCAAGAACAACAAAAGCAACAGAAACATGCATAAGTGCCTGACTGATATACTTATATCTACACATTGTAGGCATGTAATAATGTTGTACCCTGGAAATCTACCCAATCCGGCAAGTGGGGTATCACATCCACGCCGGAAATTATACAAATTCGACCGAGTAGCGAGAGTCGTTCATTACTAGTTAGTTAGTAACTCCGTCTGGAGAGTAAGTCCGGAGTAATCCGTACGGAGGATACTCCGCACGCGCGCCGATCCGAACCGCTATCCGAGCAGTGATTAAGTAGGATTTAGTCGCAGGAACGGAGGACATGTAGTATATACTCCTGGCCAATAGGAGTTGAAATTCTGCACCAGTACCAAACGAAATATCGAGACATACACGCGATTTTAGTGCATTGCGATCTACAGGGGTCGGTCAAACAAAGGCCGAGATGTGAATGCGTAGGTAGGTGATGATCTGCTGTTTATAAAAGGACGGTGTAATAGCTCGTCTGGTGGGTTGGTGCTGGACTGGGTCTGCACCTCTCATTCTTTTAAAAGCTTTTCTTTTTTTATATATCTATAATATACGGAGCAGTTAACTATATATGTCTTCAACATGATCCTCCGATCCCTCCCTATCCATGCTGCGGCCATTGCAGCAGCCTTAACTTCCCTCGTCGACGCAAAACCCCTGCGACATGACATCAGGCAGGTGGCAGAAACGCATCGGATCAATAGCACGCACTACAACGACACCTCTGCCGTCGTGCTGGATGTGTCGTTGAAGGACGCGGCCGGGAGGAACAATACGTCGCCGCTGCTGTATGGGTGGATGTTTGAGGATATTAGTGTAATTACCTCCATTTGTTGACCCTTGACTATTACCGTTCTCAAGATGCGTTGTTTGTTTTGTACTGGTGTCATTTTATATTACTGTGCTTCAGACGAAGATGGTTTTTTTTTCCTATTTCCTCAAGCTAAGCCTTCTTGCAGCACTCCGGCGACGGCGGTATATACGCGGAATTGATCAAGAACCGGGCTTTCCAGGGTGAGAACTACCTTGACTTTCTTTCTCTTCGTCGTTCTGACGACCTGCCAGGCTCGACATCCACCGTCAAACAAGCACCCGGCATTTCAGGCGACAGCGTGGTTGCTGCACAGAACCCCATCGTCCCGTTTGGCCCCGTCCTCGACGGATGGCGACCCATTGGCGATGCAAAACTCTCTCTCGACGTGCTTCACCCCCTGTCCGATGCCCTTCCGGTCGTCCTGCAGATCGACATCCCCTGGAACGCCACCGGCGAAGTTGGCTTCCTGAATGAAGGCTGGTGGGGCATCGACGTCCGGCCGCAGACATACAACGCCTCGTTCTACATGCTGGCCAACGCCCCGCGATACAACAAGACGCTGACCAGCATCAACCTGTCGCTGCGGTCGAACCTGACGGACGACGTCTGGGCCACGACGACGATCCACGTCGACCCGGACAAGGTCCCCACGTTCGACTACGAGCAGTACCAGGCCAGCATCGTCAACACGGTCAAGGCGCCCAACTCGAACAACACCTTTGCCATCACCTTCAATGCGGACGAGGTGGCTGGCTCGACATTCTACTTTGGCCTCGTCAGTCTGTTCCCTGAGACGTTCAACAACCGTCCCAACGGTCTGCGCAAGGACCTCGCCCAGGGCATCAAGGACATGGGCGCGAAATTCCTCCGCTTCCCAGGCGGCAACAACCTCGAGGGATACTCCATCTTCCAGCGGTGGAAGTGGAACGAGACCATCGGCCCGTTGCGATACCGCAAGGGACGCGTCGGCAACTGGGAATACTACAACACCAACGGGCTGGGTCTGCTGGAGTTCCTGGAGTGGACGGAGGACCTCGGCATGGAGCCCGTTCTGGCCGTGTACGCCGGATTCTCGCTCGACATATGGGGCCAGGAGGGCACGTCCTACCCCGAAGACCGCATGGACGAGATTGTGCAGGACATCCTGAACGAGCTGGAGTACTGCATGGGCGACGTCAACACGCACTACGGCGCTCTGCGCGCGCAGCACGGCCACCCGGAGCCGTTCGATATCAAGTACATCGAGATCGGCAACGAGGACTGGTTCTCCAGCACGTATCCCTACCGGTTCCCCATCATCTACAAGGCCATCAAGTCCGCGTACCCCAACATCACCCTCATCTCGACCGCCTACAACGAGAACGCCAACTACACCATCGACATCCCCGCGGGCGGCATGTGGGACACGCATCACTACGAGACGCCGTCCTTCTTCCTCGAGAACTTCAACTACTTCGACAACTGGCAGGCGGCGACGAACAACACCGACGTCAAGATCTTCGTCGGCGAGTACTCCGTCTACCAGATCGACACACCGGACGGCTACGTCAACTTCAGCAACCCGGAGGGCATCCACATGTTCTTCCCGGAGCTCGTGTCGGCGATCGCAGAGGCAGTCTATCTGCTCGGCGCAGAGCGCAATCCGAACACGGTCACCATGACCTCGTACGCGCCCAGCTTCCAGAACCTGAACTGGTACAACTGGTCGCCCAACCTGGTGGCCTTTACTGCCAATCCCGACGAGACGGTCTTCAGCACCAGCTACTACATGCAGAAGATGTTTGCCAATCACCGGGGCACGCAGACGCTGCCAGTGAAGAATTCCAAGGGAGACTTTAACCCGCTGTGGTGGGTTGCAACGATTGACGAGGGGGCTGGTGTTGTTTACTTCAAGGTATTATCCATTATAACATTGCTCGTTCCTGTTGTCACTAACAACAAGCAGATCGTCAACTCGGGAAACTCCTCCATCCCGTTGACAATCAACCTCGACCAGGCATACAAGGGAGTCAATGGGACGATACTGGTGCGTCGCAGAATCTGCCTTCAGCTACATATATATACCGTTCCTGACGAACTGACAATTGCCTTTCTACAGACACACCCCAACCTCTACGGATTCAACTACCTGAACAACCAGACTGCCATCGTGCCTGTTCCGGCGAACATCACTTCTCCCTCGAAGAGTCAGAACCGCTTCGATTGGGATGTCCCGAAGTATTCGGTCACGGTGTTGCAGTTTGATATTTAAAAAAAAAACAATTCAAAGAAAAAAAAATGAAGAAGAGGGGCGGAGATCCCGCCTGTCAATGTGATTAATAGTACTAGCATGGCATATATAGCATTCAGATTTTGTTCCAGATGGATACATCTATCGTAGACATACTGTACTGTACTGTACATACGTTGATCTGCTCAAGCCTGCACAACACCATACCAACAAAGGCCCAACACGGCCCCAAAAACGATAGCCGCAGCCGCAGGGACCTTGAACCAGGCCGTTTCCGCGTACGCAACCGTCGCAACAACCACCCACCACGGGTCCAGGCCCAGACTCTTCCCACTGCTGGCCTCGGGCGTCAGATAGCCAATCTCCCACAGGCGATACACGGCCGTGAAGACCAGCCCGACAGCCGTCGCGTTGATGCCCCGCAGCAGATCGACGACCCACTTGCGTCTGCGCAGCACGCGCCAGAAGCTCTGCACGGCGATCGCCAGCGTGATCCCCGGGACGAAGATCCCGAGATAACCCAGAAACGCGCCCAGGATGGTCGGATACCCAGACTTCAGCACCACCAGCGCGCCCAGAAACACGGCGAAGTTGAAGTTCGGCCCCGGAAACGCCTGGATGATCGCCAGCCCGATCAGAAAGTCCCGGCTCGTCACCCAGCCCGGATCGACGACGTACGACCGCAGCAGCGGAATGACTACGGGGCCTCCGCCGAAGATGATCGTGCCGGCTAGGTACATGTTGGCAAAGAGGTCGAGGGGGAGAGGCGCGGAGTGGACCACGCCGCGCGCGACTAGGATAGCGATGAAGGAGGCTATTCAGTCAGTCAGAAGAGAGCTATCAAGGTAGGAATAGGAATGGGTCAATACCGAAGAATAGCACAGCAATGGTGATTCCGGCCCTGACGCGGACCACGTGGTCTGAGGAACCCTCCTCGCTGTTTCTGGGAGCGACCTCCGAAGTATTCTGCGGCAGGCTGTCCGCTGGATGGCCCTTTCGCGATCGAGCAGTCGACTCCGATCTCGCGGGTGGAATAGGAGTTTGCCTTTCCTCGAGCGGAATACTATTTTCAGCAGCACCAGCACCAGCACCGGTCTCGTCGTCGGCCGCTGGCTGAGGATTCCGCCTCCTCCGCTGCAAAGCCGCTCTAGCCTTGCCAATCTCTCTGCTCAGCCATCCGTCCCAGATGACAGTCGCCAGACCGCCGATGATCATCAGGACGGGAAAATACCACAGGGCGTTGTAGCACAGCCCTGCGCAGGCGCCCAGGATGACCTGGAGGCGGGTGAGCTTGTCCTTGATGGCCTTCTCCGCCAGCTGCACCGCTGCCAGCGCGATGATGCCGACCGTCGACGCGTTCAGGCCTGAGAGAAGCGCGTACGCGGGTCGGGGGAGAATCTCGTTGATGTGCTGCACGCCGAGGGAGAGGCAGTACATGCCAATTGCGCCGGGGAGGCTAACTTGTTAGTCGATAGGAAAACGATAAATTTATATAAAGAGAGAGGCAGTAAAAGAAATTGAATAAAGAAAGAAAGAATGAATGAATGAAATACCTCCATACCAAAAAGACAAACAGAGCAGGAATAAACCCGGCATGCAGCAACGTCAAGCAAAACAGCATCTTCGTGCTCCCTGGACCGGGCAAGCCCTGACAGATGGCGAAGAGCTCCTGATACTAATACAGTCAGTCAGCATTACTATTATCAGCATTATTATCTTTTCTTTT